AGAGATCTGTACAAAACAAACATGGGAGCTGAGGCTTGGCTGGGATGGAGATTTCCTCATCACCATGCACCCCCTGCTTTGCTGCCATCACACGCTGGCACAGTCACAGTTTTATTTTCTGATATCAAATATACTTTTAGAGTACCAGAGATGAGATATAATTTGGAAGTGCAGGGCTAAAGAAGCTAAAGAATCCCTATTCATACAAAATTAATGTCTAAAAATGCCTGAGCATTCTTTCTCACCAAGAAAAAGACAGTTACAAGAACCTGGATTTCCAAGTCAATTATCAGGCCAAGAAAAACCTAAAATCTTAACTATAATAAGTGCATTAAAATAAAACAAGAAATTTCCAAGTGCTTTTTTTTAAAAAAAAAAAATCAGGAAAAATTGCAGTATTGACTGCCTAAAAACCCTTTTGAAAATAATGCATTTATTTATGGAGAAAACAAAATTTCCTTTTCCTTGCCATGGTTGATAGACATCTTGCCCTAGCCATGCCCTACCACAGAGAAAAAGGGATTTTATTACAGAGGCATTAAATTCAGGTTGAACTCCTTATGTAGATGAATGTAGAGATTCAGAATATGGTAGTATTGAAAAATAAAATTTATACAGAGATTTAAAAAAATGTATTAATATTGCTTTGGTGTGGAGTGGATGGAGTAGTGTTGGGGAGAGCTCTGGGAATGGCTGTGCCGGCCCAAAATGAACCAAATTTTCCCTCCTTTGTATCACCCTGCTCTTTTATGTCCTCTGCCAGTAAAGCCAGGGCTGATTTGTATAAAATAAATCAGAATAGAAAAATAAAACTGGACATTTTCTATGCTGCACATCACTTGAGAAATCCCTGACAGACTCAGGATTTGCAGGAGACTGAATTGTTAACTCCTAGAATTACAAATCAAGCATCATCCCATATGGCACTACTTTTCAAATGACTTTCCTGTAAATCACAAAATCAGAAGTCTGACTCATCAGCAGTGCCACTGACTGTGGCCATGACATGAATTTGGGCTCCTCACAGAACCAAAGAATTTACAATATCCCAGTTAGTGAACTGGGAGGAACTCTGGTACTAACCCAATTCTCCTTCTGTGCCCCCCCTTTTATTTTAAATTATTTTTTCCCTTCTCAAGGTTTACTTTTATCTTGTGTGTCTTTTCTGGAGCTCCTTGGCTCCCCTCCAGGTGAATACAATACCCAGTAAACATTCATTTTCTGTAAGTTTTATGCAGACCAGCAAGGGCATCACCAGCATCAGCTGTACCAGAGCCACTCTGCTGTTTTGGTCCTAATTTCTATTATTCCTATTTATCTATTACCAATTATTTAAACAATATTTCCTTATTTAAATGAAACATCTTCCTTCCATCTCCCTTGTCACAGGACCCTGAGGCAGGCAGAACCTGGAAGTAAATCTGCTTTTTGTGGCACATCAGTGAATAAAACAGGCAATGTTTGTAACAAGGGAGATTTGTTTTATGGCAACAGAATTCCCTCTCTTCCCCACATTTGCATTTTTCCTGGGGCATCCAAACAATACCTTTTTCTTACATACTTATTGTACTCCATCAAAAATTTTGAGTATCCCTCCACTCCATGGAATAGACCTGTGTAAGCTTTATCCTATGGACTTCTAGTAAATGAACTGAAATATAAAAATCAATTCTGCAGCATCACCACCAAATCCCATTTCAAGCAGTGACCAACTGAGTCAGTCACAGGAATCAGGACAAATAGAGAGAACTTCCTTGAGCTTCCCAGGGTTTTCCAACACATTAATTTGATATATTGTTCCTGAGAAATATTACACCTGTGTAATATTACGCTTCACCTTTCAGAAATACAAAGACTCTATAAGAATGACAGGATAAAATATGATTTTTTTCAGTAATTCCAACTGTGAATTAGTTAAAATTTGCAGTAGAGAAGGGAATAAGCTTTGATCCACACTGCAGCATCCCCACAGCTCACTCCTGAGATTATTTCATTGCCATCTGAAGCACGTATGGAGACACAGGGCCTGCTCTAATTACAATATTGTAGTTTTGACTGACAGACAATATGTCTACAATCAACTCATTTGAAAGCCATGTGTTGCGACAGTTCCTTGTCCGACTCCGCAGTGCAGAACCAAGACAAATCAGTGCCTTGTTACTCTGCACTAATCCCACAGCTAAAAAAAAAAGAAAAATCTCAGGAAACACATGTACACACAAAGAACAGTGGGGCCAAGAGGTACCCCAGTTTCTTTTTTATCTTCTCCTGATTGTTAACATCTGCTGACTCCTCAAACACAGCCAGAGCATTTAAAAGCGACACTTCAAGACCTGTAAACTCCAAAACAACTCATTCCAAACTTCCCAACATCTCTAAACAAAGGAAATTTGAATATGAGCATTTAAAATCACCATTTTTGAAATCACAGGAAACTCCACATTATTACACTTATTCCTTACTCACACCTGTATATCCGTGATCCTGAAACAATGTTTTTATTCTGATCTCACACCGGCCTGGATAAGTGTAATTATTATGCAGCAGAATATGACAGAGATATCTGTCATTAGTAGAATTTCTGGAATTTTGAACATACATTTCAATAGCCTAAGTGGACCTAGCTTGGCAATTTAGCTGACCCTGGAAAAGAGTGCCTTATGTTCATCTTGTGCAATCTGTCCAGTAACAGATGTACAGCATTAGGATGTAAAGTGAGGTGGAGGAGGATGGGAACAGCAGGAGAAGAGTCAGGCCATCAGCAGAGGAGCCATGAGCTTCCTAGGCCAGCACCAAGGGACACAGCAACCCACAAACCGCTCCAAACTGGTTTTCCCACTAAACCTGTGATAAACAAATTACTATTTCTGAAGCGCTGCACTTACTTTATGGTAAATGATGTGTAAACATATTTAAAAAAATGAATTTAAAAAATATAAGTGAGTCCCTGCAGTGTCTGAGGTGAGAGCAGGAGGTGGGAGCAGGGAGGTCCAGGTGTGACAGAGGGACAGCAGAGGATTCAGCCAGACCCAAATCTCACCCTGGGGTCAGATGGAGCAGCTTTGCTCCATTTTCTGTCCCCTCCAGCTCACAGCTCACAGCAAAACCCACTGGTGGTGAAGTTCTCCAGGTGAGGAGCTGGTGCTGATGAGCTGCCCCAGCTGCAGGCACAGCCTGGCACCATTAACTCACCTGATCAGCACCATCAATGCTCTGGGAAGGTTTAACAGCTTTAATGTCCTTCCTACCAGTTTCTGAGACATTTTCTCACCTTTCTTCATTCAGTTACGACCACAAATGTGTAAAACCAGACAGGACTTGCAATTAATTGGTTTTTAAAGTGCTCAAAGTGCCACTTTCCAGGATTATCGCAACATGAAAATATTCATCGTATCTGCCCACACCAAATGTTGATATAAATTATTAATTTAAGGCAAATGTGACAATTAAGCAGATTTATTAGCCTTAATGCATCATGCAATTACTAAATGACTTCTTTTTAAAGCTCGTCTTCTCTCTTTCTCTGCAAGCAAAACTGCTTTTGTTTTAGGTCCCATATTTTATTTATTGATACACATCATCTTGAGAATGAGCTATCCAAGTTAAATTTTGTAGTGACAGCGTTCAATTAACACACAAACAAAGTACAGATACTTATTAGCATCACAATAGCAGTCTCCAGGGAGGAGAAAAGTGTCTTTCAGGCAGAGTTTTCAAGTAAATAATTAACAGACAAAACAATCCCTGAAACTGTGGCTAAAGCACCCTTCTATTTGCAGTTTTAGTCAGGGACCTCTAATTGACCAGGGTTGGATTGTTCATCCCTAAAATAGGCGCTTTTGCCTGAAACCACAGATGGGAAAATAATGGCCACATTTGTGTTTGCCTTGTCCATGGCACAATGGCTATTTTGTCAATAACAGAACATCAGGATTATGATTTTTATGTTTTCAGAGGTATGAGAGTCCCTATCTGTCAGTATATCAGAAATATAGATAAAAAATTTTAAAATCCACTTAATTGTAATAAACACATCTGAAACACGGCACTTTGGACAACTCTGGTCTTTCCCACAAACACAACTTATTCACCACATATTCCTTTGGGTGTCCTTTAGAAAAAAAACAACTCTGGTTGTAGTTTAGGATTTTTTTTCCCCCCTCACACATTACATGTAGCTCTGGGAGCTAAAAATATTGTTTTCAGCTGAGCAAAAGGAAACGTCAGGGATAATTTTGATAAATGTGAGCCATCTCATATTTTCTGTTAACAAGTGCTTTGTGTGTCTAATAACATGCACCTGTGAAGCTGAGTTTTCTTTTTCCTGTGACCTCACAGAACTAAAAAGAGATTGTGCCTTCTGCTGGGGCAATAACATGGATGGAAAGATTTAATAAACACAGAGATAGATGGTCCCCACTCTGTGGACCATCCCTCTCCTGGGTTGAGGTTTGTTCTCAGGATTTTTCTGGTGAAGAACAAACCTGGACCCACAGATAGAGGTGGGATGAGCACACCAGGGCTGAAGTGGGATGGGCTCAGCTTAGCTCAGCTCAGTTCAGAGATCAGTGCAAAATCCAAATCCATACAAGATCAAACACTGGACTCAATGCTCTTGGAGATCTTTTCCAACCTAAGACTTTAAAGCTGTTTCTCCAGGAACTGCACTCTCTTTACACAAAAGAAACTCAATGATTACTCCTTTCTAACACTCTTACTAGGAGGTGAAAAATGCTCCAGAGCAGTGAGAATTCACATAAATCTCATCAATATTTGGAGTGCTAAAATGTCCAGTGTATTATTCGCAGTGTATTATTTGCAGTGTATTATTCGCAGTGTATTATTCGCAGTGTATTATTCCCTGTAGAGAATTTACACTAATCTCCTCAGTATTTGGAGTGCTAAAATGTCCAATTTATTATTCTCTGTAGCTAAATGCCCAGTGTATAATTTATTCCCTGTCCAGTGCGTTATTTATTCCCTGACCAGTGCATTATTACCTTTGATAATCCAAAGAGCCTTGAATTGTGGAGTGCAGGAAAATTCGCTGTGGTTCCAATGTATTTTGCTTTCCAAACAGATTTCCCAGGGATAAACCGTACAGTTCTTCCCTCCTGAGCTGCCAGCCCTGTTTGCCCACAGGGACAAGCTGGGGGCTGTTCAAGCTCCCTGCCAAAATTTCCCAGGTTTATTTGTTAAGGATGAATAGGGAATGGTAGATTTTCTTGTTTTGCACAGGTGGTTCTTGTTTCTTCTTCTAGGGATGAAACATTAAAAAGAAAGAAATTATATCCTGATACAGAGAATACCCAACGAAACAAAAAATATATATAAAACTTGCTTTTTTCAAAAAGTCAGATTTCCTACAGAACTTCTATTTGATATCTTTGTCACAAGTGAAAGCTTCAAAGTTTCTCTTTTGAAAGGTGTTTCATTTTTATCATGTAAAGGCTCCTGTGAATCCAGGTAAATAGTAATGAGTTTCTTCCAAACACTTGACAACTACAAAAGAAGTGAATACCACTGGCTAATAAGAACTAAAAAGAAAATTGTAGCCTACCTGGTTTCCTGTAAAAAAAGATTTTCCTATGCAGAATCAGTAGATATCCAAGTGACAAAATATTTTTGCTTTAAATGAGACAACGTTCTCAGCTTTATAGAAGTTCTTTAGAAAACTAAAAATGTATGATATAAATTTTCTCCCACACTGAGCCTAACATTAAAATACTTCACAAAGAAATTTGTCTTGTACTATATTAATTTGTACAAACTTTAGACTACAATTCAATGTGTCTGTAAAACCTCACTCACTAGAAATTTTCTTTTTAAATTAAATATCTTCTGGTCGTTTTTTAAAATTATTCCATCTCTGCATCTAAACTCTAAGCAAGTTTGCTTTATTTTAGGAATGGTCTTTTAGTCAATTATTTAAATTGTAAGGCTGTACAACAGGATATGGTCTGTAGGGATTTGTTATGTATCAATGGGTCATTTATTTATGAAATTTCTGCACTCCATGCCTGCTAAAATATTGATGTTCTTCCCCTTTGCTCCTTTCTGTGATTTAAGTAAAATGGTAAGTATTGAATTGAATTAATTTAAAGATTAGCCATTATAATGAAGTCTTATTTAATCATTAAGAGAAGCCAAAAGAGACAAAATGGGGCTGACAGAGTTTAGTTTGGAGCAGGCAGGAATCCTGGGAGCAAAGTGAAATTTCTGTAAAGTCTCACCCACGTTCTGGTTTAAATATGAGGTTAATTTTCCTGAGGAAGGAAATGTCAGTGTCACCTGCATCACTCATCCCTGTCCCTCCCAAGGAGATGACAATATTATTATTAATATATTAAATATTATTATCATTTAATTATAATATATAATAATTTATGTATTATATAGGTTTAAATAGTTATTCCATATTAAATTATAATTATATAATGATATAATATATAGTAATAGTTAATGTTATTATTAATAATGATAATAGTAGTAGTATTATCCCTCTTGATTATTATTCACTTGATTTTCACCTTTTAACCAACACCCATGGCTAGCTAAGAGTGTTCAGGTAACTTAATTTTTCTAAAAATCTTGCAAACGTCTAATTCTCTTTAAGTATGTTCCTGGAGCCTACCATTCATTTATGGCAAATTATCACTCATTATCTATTTTGTGATTTGCTGCTGCTCTCTTTTACCAGAGAGCTGCTTTTACAAGATTCTCATGTGAGTGAAACATTTCCTAGCTAGCACAGCTTTCTAATTTAATTCCTGTTTTTTTGGTGCATACATGAGAAATGAGCCTTGCTGGCCAAGCTGAGTGATTGGTGTGAATGTCTGAGGTGTCATTTGAAAAACAATGAATTATTAGAAGAGCTAATAGGAGCAACCTATGATGATACAGTGTCAAGCAAGGCTATTTGTCCTTCATAATCCCTGCCTTTATGGGTTAAAAATAGTTGTATATTCAAAAGCAATCTGAATTTCAGTGTCTCAGTTGTTGGTATGTCAGTAATTTATCTAGAATAGTCCATACTTTGTCATAATATCCCCAAAAATATTGCAAGTTCATTTAATAGTGTGCTGTGCTTTAGAAAAATACATAGTTCCATTTCAGGAGAAATGTTACATTCAAAGTTTTCTTGGTGTCCTTGGTGTTTTGCAAAAGACAAGAGACTTTGAAATTCTAATACTTGGGTGTTTAAAGAGCTTCAGTAATTATACTAATATGAAACAAAATATAAAAAGAAATTTTTGTTTCCATAATATAACTATAAAATGCCCCACAGTCTCTGGATTAAAATGCAGCTCATGGAATAATAAAAGAAAACCTTTATGTATATATTTGGTCAGCTTTGAAAAATAAATGCACAGAGAAAATTCTGGTCTGCACTTCCAACAACTTCTAAAAACAGTTTCTAATGAGCAAATGGAATCACCACAAAGGGGGAGTCAAAACCTCCCCACCTGAGTCAGGGATTGACACCTGACTCTGCATTCTTAGGAAATTTGATTTTCTGTTTCAATTTTCTACTTGTAACTCCAGACTTTCACATAAATTTATAACACAAGGAAGAAAACATCAACCTCAAAATGTGTAAGTAAAATCTGGGACTTATTGTGATCCATGAAATCCTAATTACAGAGCTGTTTACCAGAGACAAAAGCTGCCTGACAATGCAGTGCACCAGCATATTTTGATCACTAATTGTAATCTATCAGGAGCCATAAAATTACTCCAGAATGCTATTATGGTTTTTAATTCTGAACTGGGATTTGGAAATCTTAAGATGCTGTTTAAAAAAGACCCTTCTCTATGTTGAAAAAATAAACTTCTGCAAGTGATGAAAGGAATTGAGGGATGGATGGGCTGAAGGACAGAGTGCAGGATGCAAGAAGGAGAATATACAGTATTTCAGAACTATAGTATTTCAGCCCTGGCATGAATTCAGGAGCCAATTTAAGGTTTTCTCTGGATATCAGATGATCTGGTGGCACAGCAGTACAGCAGGTACCTCATGTGAGGGAGGTGCACCTAAAGTGTCCGG